AATATTATACAAAGTAACTGGCCTGGACTCCACAAAAATGTCAATTATCAAAGACAAATAGAACTGTATACATGGGTCAATACACAGGGCGGAACAAACATAGGTTTATAGCTGCGAGTATGCGGAACATTTATTCTTGTATTTTTATGTATTAATTATTGTGTTATTTTCCACACGAACACATGTAAACCTACTTTTGCTCAACCCTGTATGCAATAATGGTCTTTGATTGAATCCTGGATTTCAAATAAAATATAAATCCCCCAGATTAAAAAGGATTTGACAGAGGCAATTGGAGAAATTTGAACAGCGTATTAGATAATTGTATTGCACCATTCAAAATTTCCCAGTTACGATCATTGTGTAATTATATTTGTCCTAGGGAAGTACATACTAAAGTATTTAGGGGTGAAGCATCTTTATATGTACAAGTAATTCTCAAATGCTTTGACAAAATATGTATTACATGCATAGAGAGGTAAAGCAAATGTGGCAAAATGGTAATCATTTGGGAATCTAGTTGAAGGCTGTCCAGGTGTTCATTGTTAACTATTCCTGTAGCTTTTCTATAGTTTGAATATTGTCAAAATAACAAGTTGAAAAAACCAACTTAAAAGTTATAAAAACCAACTACTCAAAAAAGTTACGTTATTAAAAGCAGACCTTCTTACAGATTATATTTTTTAATATCTCATTTTATTGTTAGATACAAATATGTAGGTTTAAAAGAAAAAACGATCTTGCCCTGGCCAGTTTTGCTCAGTGGTTAGAGCATCAGCTCTCAGACCAAGGAGTTGCGGGTTTGATTCCTGGTCAAGAGCAGGTACCTGGGTTGCAGGTTTGATCTCCAGCCCAGGTCGGGGTGTGTGCAGGAGGCAAACAATTGATGAGTCTCTCTCACATCAATGTTTCTCTCTCTCTCCCCCTCCCCATCTCTCGCTCCCTTCCACTCTCTCTGAAAAAAAAAAAAAAAAATCAATGAAAAAATTATCCTCAGGTGAGGATTAACTAAAAAGATAAAAAAATAAAAATAAAGAATCTTGGAACAAAAGCAGTGCTTGAGGGAATTTATAGTATTAAATGCATAAATTAGAAAAGAACAAAGATCTAAAAACCAATAATTTTTGTTTCCATCTTAGGAAACTAGCAAAAGAAAAGCAAATTAAATCCAAAGTAAGCAGAAGAAAAGAAATCATAAGAATTAAAGAAAAAAATCAATGAAACAAACAAAAAACCCAGGAAATCAATAGAGAAAATAAACAAAACCAAAAGCTACTTCTTTAAAATGATCAATAAAATAAATACCTCTAGCCAGACTTAGGAAAAAAAAAAAGAGATAATAAATTGCTAATATCAGAAATGAAAGAGGGACATCACCACAGATACGACTGAAATTAAAAGGATAATAAGAGAATACTATGAGTATTCTGTGCCCACAAATTAATAACTTGGGTGAAATGGATCAATTTTTTGAAAGACACAATCAGCCAAACTTTACATAAGAAGGAAGAAATTATCTGAATAAGTATCTATTAAGGAAATTGGGTCATTAATTAATAACCTTCTAAAACAGAAAGAATCAGGCCCAGTTGGTTCAATGGTGACGTCTACCGAACATTTAAGGAAGAAATGACACCAATGCTCTACAATCTTTCAGAGGACAGAAGCAGAGGGAAATGCTTCTTAATGTATTCTATGAGGCCAGCATTACCCTAATACCAAAATCAGATAAAGACATTACAAAAATAAATAAATAAAACCGAAGACTAATATTGCTCATGAACATAGATGCAAAAATCCTCAACAAAATATTAGTAAATCAAATCCAAAAAAATGTAAAAAACATTATACAACACAACCAAGTGAGATTTATCTTAGGTATACATAGCTGGTTCAATATTTGAAAATAAAATAATGTAATCCATCACACCAACACACTACAAAAGAAAAATCACATGATTATATCAATAGATAAAAAAAAAAAAAAAGCATTTGATAAAATGCAACACTCATTTATGATTAAAAACTCTGAATAATGCCCGGCTGGTGTGGCTCAGGTGTTGAGCACCGACCCATGCACCAAGAGGTTGCTGGTTCAGTTCCTGGTCAGGACACATGCCCAGGTTGTGGGCCTGATCGATGTTTCTATCTCTCTCTCCCTCTCCCATCTTCTCTCTCTAAAAATTAATAAAGGAAAACAAAACAAGACAAAACAAAACAAAAACAACAACAAAATACTCTTATTAATTATGAAGAGAAGGGAACTTTCTCAAATTGATAAAAGCAATCTGTACAAAATCTATAGCTAACATCATACTTACTGATAAAAACTTCAAGCTTTCCCACTAGATCAGGTACAGGCAAGGATGTCTCCTAACCATTCCTTTTCAACATCATACTAGAAGTTTTAGCTAATGAAATAAGGCAAGAAAAGAAAATATAAGGTATAGAGACGGAAAAGAAAGACATAAAACTGTCTTTGTTTGTAGATGACATTATAATTTATGCAGAAAATCCAAAAGATCAATTAAAAAACTTCCTAGAATTAATAAACAATATAGCAAGATTCAAAATTAATATACAAAAATTAATTGCTTTCCTATATACCAGCAATAAACATGTATAATTTGAAATTAAAATAATACCATTTACATTACTACCTACCAAAATGAAGTACTTAGGTATAAATCTACCAAAATATATACCGAGTCTAAATGAAAAAAACTATAGCACTCTGATGAATAAAATAGGAAAAGAACTAAATAAATAGATATTCCATATTTATGGGTAGGACGACTCAATATTGTCAAAATGTCAGTTCTTATAAACTTGACCTATAGATTCAACACAATTATAATTAAAATCTTGGCAATTTATTTTATGGATATTGACAAAGTGGTTATAAAGTTTATACGAAGAGGCAAAAAATGAAGAATAGCTAACACAATGTCGAAAGAGAAGAACAACATTGGAGGATTAATGCTACCCAATTTCAAAACTGACTACAAAACTCCAGTAATCAAGATCATGTGGTAATAGCAAAAGAATAGACAAATAGTTCAATGAAACCAAACAGAGAGCCCAGAAATAGACCCCCATAAGCATGGTCAGTTGATCTTTGTCAAAGGAGCAAAGACAATACAATGAAGCAAAGTAGTCTCTTTAACAAATGGTGCTGGAACAACTGGACATCCACATACAAATAATGAATTTAGACATGTACTTTACACTGTTCAAAAAATTAACTCAAAATGGGTCATAGTCCTACATGTAAAACAAAATTATGAAGCTCCTAGAAGATAACACAGGAGAAAATCAAGATGACCTTGAATATGGTGATGTTTTTAGATACAACATCAAAGACACAATCTATGAAAGAAAGAAATGATAAGCTGGATTTCATTAAAATTAAAAACTTCTGTTTTGTGAAAAATAATATAAAGACAATTAGAAGACAAACCACAGACTAGGACACAATATTTGCAAAAGAAACATCTGCTAAAGGACTGTTACCCAAAATATACAAAGAACTCGTAATACTTAACAATAGAAAACTCAGTTTTAAAAAATGGGCCAAGTATCCTAAAAGAAATATTCATCCCATCAGAAGATATACAGATAGAAAAAAATTGCAAGTGAAAAGATGCTCCACATTGTACGTCACCAGGGAAATACCAATTAAAACAAAAATGTGATACTACTAAACATCCTGTGGACTTGGGGTAATTATTATGTGTCAGTGTAGATTCATCCTTTGTAAAAAAAAGAAAAAAGAAAAAGATATCATTCTGGTGAGTAATGTTGATAATGAGGGAGGCTATGCCTGTGTGTGGGTAGCGGGTATGTGGAACATAACTGTACCTTCCTCTCAATTTTATTGTAAGCCTAACACTGCTTTTAAAAATAAAGTATTGTTTAAAAAGTCTGAATTTTGCCCTGGCCGGTTTGGCTCAGCGGTTAGAGCGTCGACCTGCGGTCCTGAGAGACCCGGGTTCGGTTCCCGCTAAGGGCACGTACCTCGGTTGCAGTTTGTCCCCGGCCCTGGTAGGTTGTGCGGGTGGCAGCCACGTGATGTGTTCCTTTCACGTCGATGTTTCTCTCTCTCTCTCTGTTCCTCTCTCTCCCTCCCACTCTACCTGAACAAAAAATGGGAAAGTGTCCTCGGATGAGGATAAAAAAAAAAAAAAAGTCTGAATTTTTAAAAATGTATGGTTTAGGAAATAAGTGGAATTATTATCACTACTATGAAACATTTTCCCATGGCAAAATTCCAGGAAAACAGATGGAAGTTCTAAATCCATGTGCATGTCTTTCAAGGTACTGGCAAAGCTCAGAGATATTGCTGGTTCAGTTCCAAACGACCACAATAAAGTGAATATCTCAATAAAGCTGGTCTGATGAGTTATTTGATTTCCCAGTGTATATAAAAGTTAGTTTGCACTTTACTGTGGTCTATTAAATGAGCAATAGCATTATGTCTAAAACAACACTGTACCTACTTTAATTAAAAAATACTTCATTGCTAAAATATGCTAATCATCACCTGAACCTGTTGGAAAAATGGCACCAATAGACTTGCTCTGCCCGGGGTTGCCACAAACATTCAATTTTTTGTAAAAAAGAAAAATAGATCCAGGAAGTGCAATAAACTGAAGCTCAATGATGCAAAGTATACCTGTTTTTAAAAGAAAAGTAAAAATGTATCTTGAGGAGTGTTCAGAGGATTAGAACATAATTTTCACTTCTTTTAGAAAACATTTAGTTCACCAGGATCTCCATTTAATGATTTCCTGCTCATTTGTTACCCAGGTCATCTTTTCTGTGAGATAGAACTTTCTGTTTCATTCTGCAAGAGAGACACTGGATAGCTGTTACGGCGACAAAGTTACTCTGTTGTTGCCTCTTCTTGGGGTGGACATGGTAGGGTTCTGATGGTCTCCTGGGCAGTTGGGTTCAGGTAGAAATCTCATGACCCCGTTTCTTGTCTTTTTCTTGTGCAGATCAGAGGCAACATAACTGGAACGAAGAAGCTTATAGCTTTTTGGTATGTAATTGAAAATTCTTCAAAATTATTTTGTTAGTGATATTTATGACCCGAAGGGCCTGTACTCTACTTTGCTATTCTAACTTGTGAACCAAATTACAATAGCCTAGGTATACTTATCATTAGGTTAGCACTAATGCAGATGGAAGCTGACAGTGTTGGCAAATAACCAACCATATTTAATTCTCTGGATTTCCCTCGAAAATGGATTTGTGCTGATGATTATGTTTCTGTAGGAGAGTTGTTTAGTAAAGCAATTTATTTATGGAATTATCTTTTTGGATCCCCTCAATGATCAACAATATATCATAATTATTAAAGTATCATAGACTTATAATTATATGAAAAATCTACTTGAAAAGCAACTATGTGTTTGATGTCAAGTAGTAAATTGAATGCTCTAAAAGTGAGGCATTTACTGATTTAAATGTACTAATAATAATTAAAATAAAATAATCTTAAGCTGTTCCTGCTTTTAAAGTTCAAAACTAATGATCTGGGCAAGGGTGGAATTTTTGAATGTGTGTATTTTTTTCTAATTATTCCTTTGATTTTCTATTTGTAAGATGATTTGAAAAGAGTTGTGTTTTTAGCTCTTCACTGGGAAATGCATTTCTTGTTTGGTTTAACTCCTTTTAAAGATGAAATGCGATCATAATCTTGCTGAGGAATGTAAGAGAAAGATTCTCTTCACAGCTGTCTATGAAGGGAATATCCTTTTGTGACCTCGAGGATTTAAAAAATTCTGGTAAATTTTGTGAAAGTATTAGTATATTAATTTAAGTGTTGTTTTTCTTTATGAGCCAAGCAATAATAATCACTATTTTTCCCAGTATATACTTCCTAACACTTTTTATTATCTTGCAACTGTCTTTGAAACATTGTCACTGATGACCTGTTAGTTGCCATCATTCTTTTTGGTGACTACTGCCCTTCAGTAGTTATTAAAACCCATGGTCCTGGTTGTCTAACTCACTGTAAAAAAAGTAGTTTTGATGCATATCTTAGCTGTTCAGAAGTCTTCAGATATATACATTCCTCTTATTTCCACATGTGTGTACTAAGATAAGCATTTATTGATGAGGCAGATTGTATAACTTAGCCAATAGGATTCCCATATTGCCTACTCCAGTAAAGAATGCTTTATTTGCTATAACAGTTGATGTTTCATTGAGGAATTTTAAGTGATATTTTTCATACTCATACGTTTCATTGATGGTTTACAAAACTGGTTACCTTGAGGTGTTGATAAAAACGAGCGGATTTTATCATCTTCAAAAGTCATCAAGTACTATTTCTAGTAAAACATTTCTCGAATCATCATATTTGGGGTCCCCCATCATGAAAGGTTAGAAAAAGACTGGTTGGTATAAAAAAAAGGTGTGTTATGAGGAAACCCTGCATTAGTTGAAATACTAGGTTAGATGAATTCATTGGTCTCTTGTAAAATAAAACTTGATACGTCTTATAGAAGATGATAACTAACTATGTCACCAATGACCAAATTAGATTATTTGAGTCCTGTTAACCATAGAAATTTTGTGTTGAACAGAATCAGGAACCTAGCATAACAGTGAAGAGGGCAGGATCTGAACTCAGATGGCCTTGGTTTGAATCTCGTCTCTCGTACTAATTGTGTGACTCTAGTCACATTACTTAACCCTTATGTGCCTCACTGTGCTGGCTTGTTAAATGGAGATCATAATAGTACCGCATAAAGCTGGGATGAAGATAGAATGAGTTCATATGAGCGTAGCTTTTAGAACAATAGTTGGTATATAGCTAGGAAATCAATACATGTTAGTTACGATGGTGATGAATAAACACTACTGTCTTCAGCTGAGGCATCTGTGCATCTTGGAGGTTTTATGCCTTTGGCACTAGTCCCCCAGATGTGTGGCCTTTAAGAATGAAGCACATATGGCAATGATTTGTACAAGTTTCCAACAATTTATTTCTTCAGGTGTCCTTATGTACTTATTGTCTTGGTTCCACCCGGAGCCAACATGAAGGCAAAGCTCGGCGCTTCCCTGTGTTCTGCGGGTACCGACCTTGTGGGTGCCGCTCCCTCCACGCCGCTTTCCTCTCCGGTCCAGGCTCCGTGTCCACCTTCCTTTCACTGCCTCCTGCCTCTGGGTTCCAGATCTTACAGGGACCTCACTAGGGCATTTTTTGAGCCAAGGTAGATGCTTCCCTACAAGAAATTCTTGAACCAGCTACTCGGACAAGAAAAGGTCCCCCAACTTGATGCAAAAGCATATAAATAATTTTCATCTCTACCATTGTCATTAAGCAATAGTAAAGGCCCCTGCATATAGTCTCTCCAATTTATTACAAGCATAGGTCTTAGTCCAAGTATGTGTAGTGGGAGCAAACAGTATATATTTAGTTCTCAGTCATGTGTGTCTAAATTCACGTTCTCATATTTATTTTGAGTTCTGCACAGTATTCTGTTTTTTATTTTCACTTAAAAAATTGTGGTGAAATACACATACCACAAAATTTACAGGTCTGAGCCTATTAAAGTGTGTGGTTCAGTGGAATTAAACATTCATGTTGTTGTGTGATTATCATCCCCATCCATCCCCATAACTCCTTTCATTCTGGAGAAATCAGTTTTCGTATCCATTAACCATTACTCTTCATTAACCCCTCTCCCAGCCCCTGAAAACAACATTATACTTTCTGTCCTGATGATTTTGATTATGCCAAGTATTTCATATAAGTGGAATCATATGGTATTTGCCTTTTTGTGACTGGCATATTTTACTTAGCATAATATCCTCAAGGTTCCTTCATGTTGTATCATACTGCAGAGTTTATTCCCTTTTAAAGCTGAATAATGTTCTACTGTGTGTAGTTACCACATTTTACCTATCCATTTATCCATTGATGGACACTTGGGTTGCTTCCTTGTTTTAGCTATTGTGAATAATGCTGACATAAATAGGAATGTACAAATATCCAAGACCCTGCTTCCATTGCTTTTGCATATATACCCAGAAGTGGAACTGATGAATCATATGGTAATTCTATTTTTTTTTTTTTTAATTTGTTCTTTGTCGATTTTAGAGAGAGAGGAAAAGAGAGGGAGAGAGAAATAGAAACATCGATGAGAGAGAATGTCAATTGGTTGCCTCTTGCATGCCCTCTACTGGGCATTGGACCCACAACCCAGGCATGTGCCCTGACTGGGAACATTTTGGTGCATGGGTTCGATGCTCAACCTCCGAGCCACACTGGCCAGGCTAGTAATTCTACTTTTAATTTTTTGAGAACCACCATACTGTTTTCCACAGTGGCTGTACCTTCTTACATTCTCACCAACAGTCTTCACAGAATTCTTAAGTATAGACAGCTTGTCTAATTATTTTGACATATTCCTACTGGGCAGTGAATATTGTAAAGTTTTATGTGAATACATTTAGAAAACAAAGTTATATTTCTCCTATTCTTTTCTTTTCCTGCTGTGCCTCTGACAGTTATGTTCTAAGACCTCCATAATGTTAATTCATGTTACCAGGTGATGCAGAGTGTCAGTGGACTATTTCCAGGACAGAAACATGGGATGCCAAGTCTCATACCTCTAATGGAAAAACAACTTGAACTCCAAGGATTTCTTGGCTTATTTTAAAATAAGCTCTATGTTAAAATCCTGTGTGTTGGCAGGAGAGGACTAGATGACCACATATGTTTTCTTCTTGAAGGCTCATAGTATTTTTATACAAAATATACCAACATGAACAAGAACGGGACAACTACATTTCCAAGAGAAATTTTCTAGTTGAAGAAAGAATTATATAGAGGCTGTTCTTTTAAACAGAATTTGCAAGCTTTTCCAATTATCAAGAGGGCATATCAATATTTGAGCTATCGTGGTTTCTGGTTAATAATGTTTGTTCTTTCTTATATTGGGTTGAACCAGAGGAAGATAGCTTTCTAAGGGACAGAATCCAATTCCAAAACCAAAAGGTATTAGTTGAAAATCTCAAAATATTCTGAGGTTATTTCTACAAATCAGTGGGGCGCCTTTCCAGAAAGTTTTCCCCCCTATTTACTGTTTATAGACAGTGGGAAGAGGAGACAGGAGGGATGGGCTTACTTCAAGCAAGTGGTTTCTGGTTGACAGACATTTTATTTTCCCTTGGTTTATTATACTCTGTAGAAATATCAGTGCCTTTCCTCATAAAATCCCCTTCCAACTAAAGTGTTCAGAAAGGGGGCTAGCTACCTTGTGTATATGTCAGTTTACAAAGGAAAAATTTAAACATAACTTTGAAAATTTTAGAAAAGACTTTTGTTAATGGTTCGTGAGGCACAGGGAATGCTTGTCAGTCTAGGCTAGCTGTGCTGTGGTAGCAACTTAACCCTGAAATCTCAGTAGCTTAACACAATACGCTTGCATTTCTTATTCACACGGCATGTTCAGCGCCGGTTGCATGTGAAGGGGAAGGCTCCTCTACTCCACGGAGTCGCCTTGGGGCGCCACCATGGCCAAAGGTGGCTTCAGGGTTTGCCATGCCGGGAAGAGAGAGTGTGGAACATGCGCCCACATTCTCCAACCTGGAAGTGTCCCACATCACCTCTACCCAGACAGAGCCCATTGGCCAGAAATTGTCATATGACCTCTCCCAACCACACAGGGCTAAAGGTCTTCCTAGGGGTGGAGAAAGGAGAGAAAAACTAGATATAGAGAGAACCAGTAATTTCTCTTTTGGTGGACTTTGCTGGAAATTCTTGCTTTAGGCAACTCTATAAAATAACTCTTCTTCCTAAATCAGACAGATTTATAATTCCTTATGTTTTATTATTTCACATTTAAAACTAATTTCACATTTTTTACTTTCTAACTTCAGGTAGGAATAAATAAAACAAGGATTATTGAGGGTATAGATATTACCCTCAATTTCACATTTTTTACTTTCTAACTTCAGGTAGGAATAAATAAAACAAGGATTATTGAGGGTATAGATATAATCGACAATAGAAAAATTGTCTAT